ACTTAAAATTAAAATAAAAAAATTATAAAGTGCCGTTTAATTACTAAAATGTGTTCAATTGTTACTTTCAAATATTTCAATGTATATTTAACAATCATCTAATCAATACATCACTTAAACTCCCATAACTAAGAATCTAAAAGGGACATTTATTTCAGTTGTTGAATTATTGTTGTATTTTGTAAACCAGCTTCTTCAATCGTTTTATCTTCTGTAAGCTCCTTAGTAGGATACATTGTTAATAAACTGAATTCTCTCATAGCATATTGAGGTCTCATACTAAAGTATAATTAAGGAATAACACTTTCGTTTTAAAAGAAAAAAATTAATTGTTGTTACTTCAATGAGAATAGTATTAATTGAAAAAGGATACATTACTATATACTGCCTCAAATCATTAATTGTATGAGTTAAATTAAATTGAACTTTTACAGTGCTTCCATCAGCAAGACGAATTTGTAATGTTGTAACAGGTTTTGATTCATCCAACTTCAATTGTTGTTTTGCCTGTGATTCATTTGCTGTTTGATCTGCAAGATCTGTTGGTATTGTCATACCAACTGTAGCTGGAGAAGGGCTGAACAAAAATATTTTTGAAAATGTCTGAAAAATATTTAAAAAATATCTTTCTTCTATAAAAAGAATATATATAGATTATATACCTCCCTAACATATGCCCTTTTCCACTAAAAGCTTTCACTTTAACTTTTGAAGGGACATATCTTTCATGACGATGATCTTCCATATCAACCCTTGCTTCAGTACCTTGAATCTCTTGACGTATTTCTGGTGGTATTTCACCTCGTTTTATAGTCTTCAGAAAGTTTACATTTCCTGGATCATTATATAATCGAAGTTCAGAATCATTTATAGTAAATCCATCTTTCCACAATTTTAAAGTAATTAATCCAGAATTTGTCTGTTGATGATTGGATGATGTAGCAGTGACAACTGAAAAAATAAAATATTTATGTTACTTTAATATATTTTGTTACAAGATGTTTAAGTTTCAATAATGTTGATAGGTTACTTTCAGTATCAGAACTAGTTTGACCTAACTTGTAGCCAGTACCACTAAAGGTATTTGGTCTTTGCTGCCCACTTGGTTTGGGTTCTACAGCAATTGATTGTCTTTGACATGATTTGAACATGTCACTAACAACATCTTTTTTCTTCCCTGGTCCTAAAATTTGTTGTCCACTACGTTCAGAACCACCAGCATAAAATGCTTGTCCTTCTTCTTCTTCAGGGCTACTTTCTTTCTCTTTAAGATCATTAAGCATTGCAAACATAGGCTTTAGTTTTACTTTTTCTTTTGATGATTCTCCTTCCATTTCTGATTCTTTTGTACTTCCTGCAGTCTTTTCAGAAATATCAGTATGTTCCTCTTTTGATGTTGCACCTTCAGTAAGTTCGTTAGGTAATTTAGGATAATCAAATCCATCAGAATAATAAAATCTGTCAATAGCAACCTGAAAAAGATTTAAGTAATTAATAGATAAGTTTAGATATACATGTTAGAACCCTTAAAACTAAATTGTGTAATCAATATACTGTATTACTAAGATGTTACAGTGTAGAAAGAATTTGTTTTATGGTAACTAATCTTATTTTTAGATGTACTGTCATTGACAATATTCCTAAAATAAAACATCTAATAACTTTAATCACGTTATTGCAACATTATGCATTTATATGCTGTGAAACACTTTTTATTTGAAACAAATCTTCAATATTTTAAAAGAAACAACTTGTTTCAAAACATTACTAAAATTTCGCGAGTAAGTATTGTCATAAGATTAAAATTTGTTAAATTTGAGGTTATAAAATGGTATTGAAATTATATTAATACTAACGTACTAATATACCGTTTCAACGATTCATAATAAAAATATTTTGTATTAATGTTTATAAAAGGTGTAATAAATATGCTGTCTCACCGCTAGCTGCCAATTAGATAACTCAAGATAACATTGTGCTTCTTCGGGTTCACTCCCAGTTGTATCCATAAATTTCGAAACTAATTCGTCGTGATTCGCCATTGAAAGCGAATATTAAAACACTTGCAATGTATTGTAACTTATGCTTTCTATTGTATCTTCAAAAGTTTCTCTTATAATAATTTCCTTTGTTCGAGAATACAACTTTACGTCAATTTCTTCAATTTTCCCTGTCATTGCTCTTCCATTTATATGGAACTGAACCGGATATATATACAGTGCTTACATCCGCGAAATGTTTGAATATACATTCTGATGTGTTTTTAATCTTACAATAATTTTTGTAATTCTATCAGTTTAATATGATTCTGATTATTTTGTTTGTTATATTTTAAATACATTCCTACATATTATTATAAAAGGTGTAAAAATAAGTTACATGAATATTATTTCTTTTTAATACTTCTTGTGCAACTTATTCATATTATAATGTTCTATAAGCTGTTTATGTTATGATATATTATTTCTTTTGTAACTTATTCATATTATAATGTTCGACAAGCTGTTTATGTTATGTGACAATATAAGGCTGTGCCACATTTTATCCAATGAGATTGAGGTACATCAGTTTTTAAAGGTATAGTAATTATATAATTTTTTGGGAAGAATTTAATATCTTTATCGATATTTTGTATGGCAGCTGCATAGAGAGGACATTCATACACTTCCTCTATGTTTTTTTTATTTCGTGAATATTTCAGATATATAGGTGGCATATTTTGCCAAGTTTCAGTTGTAAAATTTTCGGTTAATATATTTTTTTCAAAATTCCATCGACCACCACATAAATGCAATCCGCAAATTAAATATGCATCAATATTCTCTATAGTAATTGTTTCTTCTGTAGTAACTTCAAAATCAAAACTAATTTCCTCAATAGGTATATTATATTTTTTGGAAAACGTCAATAAAATTGCGGAAAAAAACATTTTATAATGAGATAATACATCAAGACAAACAGTTTTGGGACAACCTTGATTCATCCAGTTTTTAAGAAAATTTGCACGTTTTAATAAATTATCGATGTAATACGATAAATTTCCCGTAACGATAATGGTTTGCGTTTTTTCCCAAATGTGTGGAATTTTATTTTCATATATTTCTTTTGCCAATTCTCTTAAAGAATTTGTAAGAAGAAGATAGCCATTCAATGCTAATTTTAAATTATTCAATGTTTTAGTTATGATTTTTAAAATCTTTTTTAATGATTTGATTTCACAAAAAAGAACTCTTTCTAAAGGTTCTTTAAGCATAGAAGTACACTTGTCTGACATTTCATTAATTTTAATGGTATCACATAATTTATTATCAATTTCATTAATTAAAATTAGTACCTGATCCTGATGTAATTCTTCATCTGGTAAAAGAATTGGTGAGTTCATACACGAAAATAATGATAAAAATTCTGTAATCATCATAGTATTTAAAATAAAAACACCATTCTTATTAGATCCAAAAACTTGAGGTGATAATTCTAAAGGAATTTTTTTAATATGTTCAATTATATGATAATATTCACATCTTTGTGGTATTAACATTTCTATATTATTTAAATACGTATATTGATGATTTTCAATTATATTAGAATTGCAATAATCATTTAAAAGATGTTTTAAACATTTATCATCAAATTTATCTTGGATTTTCCCCCCATAATTACATTTCGCAATAAGATATAGAAGAATATCAAAAGGTACATGATCTGTATTATTAATGAAATTTTGCAACTGTATAATTGATATTTGAAGATCAGTATAATCAAAGTCATATGGTATATTCCATCCTTGAATTCCACAGTTGTGTCTTTGTTTTATAACTACATGGAAAAAGCATATTCCAAAAAGAAGTTTTAAAAAAATATTGTCTTTCCCAGGACAGGCTTCAAAAAATTCTTTACTTATTATAGGTTCTGATTGATAAATATTCAATAATGCTTCTTTGATATTCAAGGGATAATCATGCATTATTTTTATGCTATTTTGCAAAGTACTAATTGGAAATTCTTTGATGGTATAACAGGATAACCACAATCGAAAATTTGAAGATACATCAGAACTGTTGCAATTTTCACAAATTTTTTCAAGCTGAATCATCCAGTGAGGTACCAAATGACAATTTTCTAAAAACACCCAACTTCCCTCTCTCTGAGCTCCCTGTATAAGATGTTCAGCTTTTTTTTCTTGATCTTTACTCATAGATAGAGATACAAATTTTGACAAATAGCCTTTACTTTTTGCAAATGCAGAAATAAGAGATAAGGGTGATAAACAAGCAGGTAAAATAAATAAAAGTGGAGTTAAGCAAGTAGATTCTGCGTATGATTGAGATATTTTCATTTTTGGAGAGTAATTGTGTATACTTCCTAAAACGTTTTTTATAATTTGCATAATTTGTACTATAATCTTATCAGGACGTAAAACTTTTACAAGAATAAGTTTTTGAAATAAGGACAATTTATTAATCCAAGGTTCTGGCATTAAATGGTCTTGAAGTGACTCAGAAGTATAATACTGTTTCCAAGCCTCTTCATTGCAGCAAAAATGATCAACAAGATCATAAAATACAGAGAATGTTTTACTGAGATCATAAATATTTATCCAAGTATTATATGGAAGCCAATTACACGTGTAACTTGGAATTGTATTAATATGATTTGGGTTTAGTGTCATGAAGTATTCAATTTCTTCTTTGGTTGTTTGTTGGTCATTCAATAAAATTTTAGAACATAATAAGAAAGAATATAATATTTTATGTTTTTCTGATAAAGATCTGCATATGCTTGAATAGAGATTTTTAGTGAATGAAGATTTCAAAAATTTTAATCGTTTTTCAAGAATAGTACTTCTATTTGAGGTCTCAATTGATCTTCTATATAATTGCATAAACCATGAAAAAGAAAACCGGTACATATGATTTACATACGACAAGGTGGTTAATGTGTTGAATAAATCTGCACAGTACTTAACAAACTGTACATACGCATTTCGATATTTATTTATTTCTAATGATATTGTTTTTGTCACTTCTTGTTTTTCAATAACATTTAATGAGAGACTCTTTGAAGAATCTAAAGTTTTTACAGCACTTTCATCTTCAAGAATATTTGTAGTTGTTGAAGATAAGATACTTAAAATAATGTCCTCTTGTTCTTTTAATATTTTTTTATTGTTAGCATCTTCAATAAGTAGAGTTTCAAACTTTTCTTGAAGTTCTGGCTTTTCTTTGGATATGATAAAGTCAAGAAGTCTCTCTTGCAGAGCTTCATTTGGAATAGAAAAATCAATTATTGTAAGTTTATTAAATACTTCACATGCAAATTGAGGATTAACCAATCTTGTTGTAATATATAATCGAAAATCGAATGAATATTTTATAATATCACAACCAGTATCCAAATATGAATATTCTTCATTGTTATACATTCTTTTTAAGAAAGGATCCAATAATGTTGCTAGGTTTTCTCCTACATTTTCAATTAATGTGGGAATGCCATTTTCAACATTATGTTGAATAACTGATACATAATCAAGATCAGTAAGCTTAATGACTTTAAGATTATTGTTTTTCTCAATTGTTTTAATCCACTGATTTGCTTGGTTTTGAGAATCAATAAATAAAGACCATAATTTAGAATTATTCATAATAATTGCATTTTCAACCGAAAATCTACTTTTAGGTAAACCAGAAAAATACCAATAGTTTATATCATTTTCTTCTCCAAGCACATTTATTAAATCATAATCTGTACTATATGATATTTTTAGATCTTCTATGTACTGTTTCCAGTACTCTAAAATGTTACTACGAAACATAATGCTATATGGTGCCATATAGGTTATTATTCCACATGTTAATATAACATCTCCAATAAGGTTATCATAATTTTCATTAAGATTTTCTGCAAACTGTATCCAACGATTTTTTTCTCCTCCTAAACTTGCCATTAAATTTTCTGCTTTATGAAGTTTATTGGTACAGATTTTTACTTCTTGTTCTAGTTTTACTTTTTGTTGTAATGTTTCTTGAAGATTTTTATTCAATGCTGCAAGCTTAGCATTCAATGCAGACAATGTTTTACGTTTTTCATCTAAAAAAGCTTCAGCTTCATTACATTCTTTTTGTGCAATAAATAGTTTTACTTTCTTGGGTGCAACTGCCTTTGCAACTTCATCATAAGACACCATTGCACGTACCCATTTACAAAGTCCTTCTGCAGCACTTGATGCTTTGGCAACAATATGTGGTTTGAAATTGTTATCCATTATGTATGTTTTTTTAATAACTTGTATAATGTTAGATGGGATGTTATCTTTATCATAGTCCTTTAGAATTTGTAAAAAATTCATATCACTTAAAATTCGTTTGCTTGGACTCCAATAATCTGTATATTTCTTACCAGTAACTGAATCAATAGCTTTATCTGGGGCAACATCAAGCATAACACATATTGCTGCCATTACTAGCTTAACAGTATCTGGAGGATTTTTCATAGCTTTAACAAGTGTAATATCTGTAGGTTTCAATGTATTTAATGCAGCAATAGCATCTTCTAGGATTGGAATTGCTACAGCAAGATCAGCTTCACATTCCATTTTTAATTTTCCAGCAATTTCTGCTTTCTTATTTGCAATTTCTTCTTCTTGTTGTACAAGAGTAGTTGCCTTCTCTACACTAATATTCTCATTTTCCACTTCTTTCATAGTATTTATTGTTTTTTGAGCAGACAACTCTAATTGTGGTTTTAACATTGTCAATGTGGCTTTCATTCTTTTTACTTGTTCGGCTGCTAATTCTAATTTTTCTAAACCTACCAAATATCTACTTCTCATTGTGAAGATATCTTTCTGTTTTTCACATAAGAGATAGGTATAAAGTTTCAACATATGTAAAAATGCAGATAATGTAACATGAACTTTTGCACCTGTTTCTTTATAGTATTTAGTGCTTATTTCTTGCATGTTGTTATGTAATTTTATACAAACTTCTATTACATTCATCTTCATTTTTTCTTGAACATTAATGTTTTGAATATATTTTATACCTATCTGTGTAAGTGTATCTGTTGGCCACATTTCATACCAATTTATTGTACAGTATTTTACTAATTCCGGATACTTATATAAATATAATCTGATTTCTTTGTTCATTGTACTACAGCACATTATAATATGCAATTTATTTTTACATTGCTCC